ATCTTTCTTTTAATTTACATAAGTATTCTTTTCTGTATTAGCACTGCATTCTTTGTTTCTCCACATGAGCATTGCATTCTCCGTACTATCTTGGAAAAAAATTTTTAATTTGTTTACATAAGTTTTCTCTTCTATTATATCTGAAATTTTCTTTATTTAATATACATATTTACTTCCCTCTATATTAAAATTTTTTTTTCCTTCGGAATAGGTTCCAATGACTTTCTAATTTGTCACTATAATTGTGTAGTTTTTCTCGCTTTCTTTAACAAGGACCCGGCACGAGGATGTCGAGCATTGACATGGTACCAGGTTAGAAACATCCTCGCTTTGCCCCTGACGACTCACAACCATAAGGAGCCTTCGTGCCGATGCATCCTTCTCTCCTCACCCGGCCGGTTGATTTCCATTTCTCTCCATCTTTGAACAGCTTTCATAGACACTTCACATCTTCTTTCACCACTCCTCGATCCAACTCCTTATACTATATTATATAAAAGTCTTCTATCAATATATGTACTTTATTAGCTCTTTACAGATCCTCCTTATTACACAAAGTTCCATATTATTTACCTTTATTGTTTTTATTCCCCTCTAAAAACAAATATAAACCTGGACCTTTTGCCCACCCCACCCCAAAACATTTAAACATAAACCCTCACCAAAAACTCACAGGAAAAGTGTTAACTAGCTCACGTTCTCATTATATGTCATCTATAATCTAAAATGCCTAACACAGTTCTTCATCACATCCCCTACAACCACTTATCAAGAAGGTAATAGGAATCAACACTGCTCTTCTTCTACCTATATCCTTCCCATTCCTGCAGTCACCTGTCCATAAAAGTAAACGTAAAAGGAGAATACTTTATTTTTATCAATAATCCTTTTTTCCTATCATAGCAATAACCCTTTTCCCTTCCTACAGTCAAAAACAGAGACCCCATTCATCAAACCCTAAGCAAACCCTTACCTATTACTAACCTTTACCCCACCCAAACCCTAACCCTAACCCAACCCCAATCTAGCACTAACCCTAACTCTAAACCTAATCTAACACTAACCCTAATATAACTCTAACCCTAACTACAACCAAAACTCTAATATAACATTAGCAATTTAACCCTGAACTCTAGACTCTTCGCCCCCTCTTTCTAATAGTTACTCTTATTTATTTTAACTTCACTTTATTTTGATTTTATTTATTCATTTATTTTTAACTTTAATAATTTATAACATATATTTTTTGCAATTTTAAATTGAGTTTAGGAGCGTGCTATTGTTACTGAAGTCGCTCCCTCAATTTTAACACCTAACTTTTATGTTCGTTTTACACACTCATCCCCACCCTTGCATACGCTTTGTTCCTTTTTTACCCATTGATCACGAGATTGCTCATCAGTAAAGTGGGAACCTATTTTCATGGGATCCCTTTTATCAACACCAAGGGAAGCCACAAAGGTTGCTAGTGAAACTACTGATTAATATATTTAATACTATACAAACAAACGACGCAGAACTTCAAGAATATTTGATATGGCTATCCGCTTTGGTGGAGAGAGTAAACATGTCATTGGTACCTGATCATCCAGGTGAGTACTAATTGGTTTTAATTCTTTCCTGTTTTGGAAGCTGTTGTTAACACGGTTCGGTTCACTTCTTCATAGGGAAGTGGTATCACATCGACTGTTTCCAAGTACCCGAGCGGTATTTTCGTCACACTCTGCATCGCTTGGAAAGTCCGATGCTTGAGGTGTTTGCGATGTTTCACATCGCCGCCAGCCTATTTTCAAAATAACGGCAAGACGATTGTCGTACAAAATATTAGAGGAGCAAACCATCAAAAAGATTCTAGAAGAGCAGGACTCTTTGCTGTTTAAATCCCATGCTTTGTTCAGTAACCAGGACGAAGTTCCTGATATTTCAAATATGGATGCAGAGGAGGCTCTTGAAATCGACAAAGCAAGGGCAAGAAAACCAGGACGACCAACGAGTCGATCGTCAATGGAAATTGGCACAGGGGTGGGCCGTTCCACTCGAGAAGTTGAGTTAATTTGGTGGCCAAGCTTATACTCAAGATCGCTTTACGGCAAACTGACTCTACGTTTCTATGTCAAAAAAACTTCAATTTAGAAGTTCAACAATTTCATTTTTTGTTCCTGTTAACGCTTAAACTTTTAAACTTAAAACAACTATAAATACATAATTTGCAATCAGGTCCACAAGAAACTACTTCCAATTAATTATGTTAAGTGTATCCGGATGAATAAGATAGGACTTCATAAAAGTGAATTCACTTTTGTGATCTTTCATGTAAATCGACCCCAACAATTCAGCAAAAAGAAACACAAAGAATGATCTCATTTCTTTATTCTTTTTCTTTTTGGAATCTCAACTCAAATGGCATTAAACAATGACGGAGGGAGATATGTACAATCAAGGATGTAGCCTGCGTGGCTAGCCGGATGCAATACGCGCGTGGGATCCATACGATCGGCTAACCCTAAAAATTCGCGTGGCTTGGCTGAAAAAAGAAAACTTAACCGCGCGTTTATTCCGCTACCTGCGCAGACTATTATGCCCCAACAGCATCTGCTTTCAAAACAAAACCCACGACAGTTCGATAATCAGGGTACGTAGAATGAGAAATATAATTTGAAAGTCTAGCCTCGTTGTTAAGCGAAACTTCAGGGTGTAATATTAATATGGACAAAACTTTTTGTCAGACTTAGGCCAGGGTTATGCTACGAAGGGATTTATCACCTTTACCGTGACCAGCTCATTTTTCGCATGGGAACCTTTATATGACAAATAAAGCCTTTTGTTCAATGCGTTCACCACCGTTTTTGTATGAATGAAAAATATTACATTTCAACTAATCATTCTTTTCATGCGTCAAGGCAACTGAACATAAGATGATGATACGAATAATTGTAATATCTCAAATTCTAGCCTGTAGCTAAAAGGATGCCTTTGACTTTTTCTCTCAAATGAAATGCAGAAGCTTGGTTATACCACTGCAGGATTTTGTCTGACAGAAGCTCACTTACTGGAAACTGAAAGAGAGAAAAAACCAAACAAAGAATCATTGCCTTGCTCAGCTGAGATGGAAATTA